GACGAGGCCGAGTACTACCGTGTTCTGTGGTACAGCGGCCATGACCACAGTGACACATGCGGGGGGAAGTGAGACAAAAACCCAGGGCTCAGTGCACCGTCTGCTTCTGCCATCCCCTGTCTACTGCTCATAGAGGCTGGTCTCGCAGGTGGGGACTCAGAAGGGTTGTTCTCTATGGCCCCAGGGGGTGTAATCAGATCGACATTTCTAAGCCATGACAGGATTTAACCCACCATTTTGTGACAACAAAGTTCTCTTTAAAATAGGAGCCAATGTCCCCCACAATTTCACAGGGAATGGGCAGGACAGCAAAGGAAAGCTCATTCCCATGAGGACACACACACACACAGACAGTCAGGTGTGAGGGTGGCTTCTCTGGCTTTTAACAACCAAGACAACTTCACAATCTGGTGTAAAGAAGCAGAGGAGGCAGAGCCGCTGGGAAAGGGAGCTGGAGCCCCGGTCCCAGAGGAGGTTCCTTGTTCATCTTCCTTCTCCAGCCTCTGTGGTGCTTGAGGGCAGGAATGCCCAAACTTTGTTCTGGGTCAAAGCACCTGCCTGCTCCAGACAATTGTTTGCAAAGCTGATGGAAGAGCAGACAGCCTGACTACAGGGCTCACAATTCAAGACGTTCTTTGTAACTGGACCGACAGTGTGCAGCTAAAGAATAACTTTGCTTATTTTCACTGTAGAAATTTGTTTGTTGGATCATTATTCCCAATAGAAATACTTGTCTTCTATCCATGACATTAATTCCTCCCATATCTCATGAAAACCACTGCCTTCACAGCATAATTGGACACAATGTGGCTTTCTGCATGGAACTATGCTCAATCACTTCTTATCCCACATACATGCTTATAGCCTTTCACACTGGCTTTTAGTTTTCAGGTTAACATCAGTGATATTATACAGCTATGATTTTTGAAGGGAAATCTTAGACTGAAACATAGTAGAAACATAATAAAAAGTAGCCCACATCTTGAGAAGGACATGGGATTGCAGCATATGGGCATATGGAACTGATTTCTGCTACCCCCTGCCAGGGAGAAATCTGGACCACGTGCTCAGTGAAGGGGTGGGGCATCCAGAATGGGAGGTGGAAGAAGAGGACAGTGAGCATCCTTACAGCCAGCATCCAACTCCAGCAGCTGAGCCTGTGGTTCTTCCCAAGCAGGGCAACTTGCAATCCCACTTCCCTCAGGAAAACAGGCTAAATGGTGTCCCTGAGGACGTCTTACTGGGATTATGGCAGAGGTTGGAGGGTCCAAACAGAGCCAGCGACGACACCAGGGGATGCAAGGGTGCCCTGCCATGAATTCTTTCAGAACTGCTCCTGCCTTGCCCAGTGGCCAAGAGTCGTCCCCCAGTAGGTCTAAGCTGACACTGTTTCTGGAGGTGCAGTAGGGTGAAGGGTTGGTAGTATCTCCCGTAACGGCAGTGCTAGGAATTGGGAGGGGGCATCGGACCAGTATTTAACCCCAAAGGGTCCAGGTGTCAGTTTCAGTTTAGCCCCCAGGGTCCACGTGTGCTCGTTCACAGGCTGCAGACGGGAGACGGGAGGGAGGAGACAGGGACCCAGTGCTGACCGGCACCAAAACCTTGAATGAGATACCAAAGATTTTCCCTTAATTATTGTAGAGAGGGTGTGTATGAGAGATGTATCATCAGAGAGGGGCCTCACCACATGTGTACATGTGAAGTATAACTGGGAATTGTGCAAAGAACACAATAAAGTGAGGACAAACTCTAGCAGCAGTCAGGGGAACCTGCATGCCCCCAGACAGTATAGATGGGAACTTGCCTGTGGCCACGGGGAGTGGGACAGGGAGGTGTGGGGACTGCAGACATACTGTGTGCAGAGCATTGAGAACAACAGCGTCATTGGAATTTGAGAGGCATGTGTGTCTCACAGTCAGGAATGAGGCACAGGTGGGGCCTCCATTATGGAGTGAGGGACTGTGCTGTGACTATACACAGTGCATCAGAATCACAGTATTGGGGACTCCTGTCATAGACATGGGGTACAGTCAGTGACCTGCTGGGCTGCAGGGACCACCTGGGCTCCAAGGCCTTCAGGGAACTTGGAGATGTGTGTCCTGCCAACACCAGGGGGCGCTGTGGGACTTTGCTGTGGTCCCTGCACAGCTGCTCAGGGAGGAGCTTCAGGTCCCCTCAGCCTGGCCCAGGATGTGCTGATGATTCCTTGAGGTCTGACATCTGCAAACAGCAGAGTGTTCTCTTTCTCCTGAGAAATCTCAGGAGAAAAGATTCCTGGATTCGTTGAGGAACTTCCAGGTTCCCAGGAACAGGAGGGAGCCCTGTCTTTTTAAGGTCCTGGCTGTCAGGCTCAGAACCTTTACCAGCACCAGTTCAATAACAAAAATCTTAATTATTTAAAGGTTTTAAAAAAACATCAGTTTCTTGGCATCTAGAGCCTATGAGGCAACCCTCAGGTCCATCAAATATGAAAAACACAAGGACATTTCCAGAAAGCTCTGGTTTTTCTTCCAGGTCAACATTGGAGGCATTTTCACACAAGTTGATTATGAGTCAGTGTGGAATGAGGACATTCCATTGAAAAGGAGAAACAATGTACACAAAAAAGATGCTTATAGTAAAGGTGTAGATTTCAGTCTTTAGAATGCACATAATTTTAAGATTAGACTGAAAAAGATTAAAGGGGAAAGCATCATAAATATATAATAGAGGCAGAAGAGGAAAGAATAAAGTGTCAGAATAGCACTGAAGGGACATGACAGGCCAGAGAGGAGAGCAGGAGGACACATCCTCTCTGACGGCGTTGAGTACGGAGACCGAGAGGGACACAGCCCGCCAGTACCTGGGCAGTGGGAGTGGGAATCGAACAGCAGTGTCTCTAAAGCACACCAAGAAGACAATGTCATGGAATAAGTGCAGATCCCATAGACTTTCTGTCAGTGTGAACCAACAGAGTGTGGTGAAGGTTTTGAGCCTCAAACTTGGATTAAGATGTTTCTATATGTGAAGTGGCATTGCACAAGCAGAAGAAGCAGAAGGACATGTCAAGAAATCCTGAAATATCTGGCGGCATAAAAACGGTGAATGCCTTACACATGTAGTCCCTTGGAAGTGATCGGTTATCTAGAGGCAATAATGTCTCAGTCCCAGCCCCATGGAGAAACCCACTCATTCTCATGTTCCTGGTAGTGACATCCCAAAGGTCCCAGGGCCAAATCTGGTTGCCCTCCAGAAGTGCGGGGTGTAGTCCAGGGGCTGGTGGGCCCTGGATCAGAGACCAGCAGGGGGCACTGTGGGGCTGGTCCTGCTAACACAAGGTTAGGAAAAGGCCAAGGAAAATGGATCAAACTGAGCCTGACTAAAACAATTAATATCCAACATCCATTGAAATATACAGGGGACCAGTGTTAAATACTTATTCAATTTATAACGTAATGAAGATACCAGGTTGTGGGGAACCGCCCTGCCTGATTTCAGAATCTCTAATCCTGACTGGCTAAGGCTGATTAAGGGACCTTGGGACAATAAGTTTCTGTCCTATAAGTCTTTGTCTCTTCACGACCATTAAGGAGACAAAGCTCATCTCCCTGGCAGGGGCACTTCCTCTGCCCCCTTTTACTTCACCCTGCTTGGCCCCAGGCCAATGACTGGGTAGCCAATGATGGGTCAGATCCCTCAAAGGAGGGAAGACCTAAGACAGGCATGGTCACAAAGGGGCCCTCAGGGAAGGACTTGGGGGCCTGTAAAAAAGGGGGTGATGGACCCTCACCCCTTGGCTTTGACATAGCCTGAGTCCTCATTCTGTCTGCAAGAAGTCTCCTAGTTTCTTGGCTTACTTCCTCTGCCCCACTTAAGCCAGAAACAATGCCCGAGGTGGGTGGAGCTCTGTGTTGGAAAGCCTGGGTTTTCTGGGGAGATCAGGCCTAAGAAGGAATGCAGAAAATCCTATGAACCTACTTTGCTAATACCCACAGTTTAAATAAGGGTCCAAACATAGAATCAGTTTCCCCAAAGTTTTATGGCCCTTTAGCTATTTGACCCTGACTCAAAATAAGCCCTCATATTTCTTTGAATGTTATCTATTGTTGGATTATTACTGCCTGACAATGGTTGATGAGCATTACCTAGAGGCCCTGTATTTCTGTGCAAATAAACCCAATAAAAGCCCATTGAGGAACTGACTCCTGCTCTTTCTCCTTCAGAGATCAGCCACCTTCCCTCCCCAAGGAGATCATGTCTTGGTAGACTTATTCTCATCCACAGTGGATGGGAGGGCTCTGCAGGCAAACCTCCCCACACCAGGTCATAGGTAAAGTTTGGCCAAAATTATATGCATAAAAATATACTAATGTCTGCTGAATAAAGGAAAGACATTGAAAGACTATTTTTTGTTCCTTGGAGAAATAGTGATTCATTTCTAACAAGGGAGGAATCACAGTAAAAAATAAAACTGTCCTGAAATAGGGCTCATGACACTGTGGGACTCTCACTGCTCTGGGCCTGACCCAACTCCAGGGAAGAGGACATGAGTGAAAGCAGCAGTGCGGTGCTTACCCCACAGACCAGCCGAAGGATGTGTGAACTGACTCACCCTGAGGAGTCTGAGCAGGACATGAAAGTGTCCTGGAGTGACGGGGAGGCCCCATAAGGGGGCACCGGGAACTCCCCTAAGGGTGCAGGTCGAGGAACAAGGCTGTGGGGAGGCAGGGTCTGTCTGTGATGGGCCTCAGCCAGCATGTCACACAGTGGTGTGTCTAGGACTGGGCACCAGGGGGCGCTCAGGGACTGCTCCTGAAGAACTGGGGTAATCAGAGCTGGATCCTGTGACTTGAAACTGCCTGGTGCCCTCTGCTCAGGGCACACAGCTGTGACCTTGCCACGCCCCGGGTCTCACACAGGATCACCCTTAACCTCCCTGAAGTGCCCAGACACAGGTACCTGACAGAGGGCCCAGGGAGGGATCAGAAATCAGGGTGGGGGTCTCATTTGCATGAGTGGTCCCTCCCTTTCTCAGAGTATGAAGAAGGGAAGGGAGAGGTTTGGGGAAGCTCTGCTTCAGCTGTGGGGCCACAGAAGGCAGGACTCAGGGATGGACTCCACCATGGCCTGGTCCCCTCTCCTGCTCACCCTCCTGGCTCAGTGCACAGGTGACTGGATAAGGCGACAGGGGAAGAGACCCTGGGAGGAAACCTGTGGGGGGTCTTCTTCCTGCTCTTGTCTCTGGACCCAGAATCACCATCTCTGTGTGTCTCCCTCCTCCAGGGTCCTGGGCCCAGGCTGTGCTGACTCAGCCGCCCTCAGTGTCGGGGAACGCAGGACAGACCGTCACCCTCTCCTGCACTGGAAGCAGCACCAACATTGGGGATGGTTATAGTGTGGGCTGGTACCAACAAGTCCCAGGAAAACCCCCTATAACCGTGATCTATAGTACTAACAGTAGACCCTCGGGGATCCCCGACCGCTTCTCTGGATCCAGGTCTGGCAGTGTCGGCACCCTGACCATCAGTGGGCTCCAGGCTGAGGACGAGGCCAGCTATTACTGCTCAGCATGGGACAAAAGTCTCACTGCTACCACAGTGCTACAGCACTGTGGGGAAGTGAGACAAAAACCTGCTGTCCCCTGCAGTGCAGTTCCCGGGTGCAGTCCCCACTCCTCTGAGAAGACAGCTGCTTTCTCGGTTTGCTTGGTCTGAACTCAGGTCTGAGACCCTCCACAGGGGACTGTGACAGGAACATGTGTCACATCCTTTGAACGCTGCCTCTGAGGCCTGTCTGTGGCAGCAACACCTTGTGCAGTTTTCTCAAACGAGGGGAAGGTCCTGTGTGTCAGGGGGAGGCTGTGCTGGGAACAGAGTCCATGATGGGTCAGCAAGAACCAGGGACAGGGAACCCATCTATGTCTGAGTCAGTGCACATCAGAAAGGCCCAGAGTGTGCTGTCACCAATATGTCCCCTCTCGACCTCCACCCTGCCCATCACTCAGGATAGATCCACCCTGCGTGGCCCATGATCCATTCCCTGGATCAGCTTTGGCACCTCAGCGTCCCTGACCCTCAATGGGCTGAGAGCTAGGATAAGGGAGCCTCTCACAGCCACCCTGTGACAGTGTCCTCTGTGCTCACACAGAGCTGCAGGCCTGTGGGACTTGAGACCAGTGGAAGCTCGTTCTCATCTACAGGGAGGGGATATCCCAGCCTTTGCCACTCAGGACACCTCTGGCTTCTGGTTTTGGTGCTGCCACCAAAGGCAGGTTCTTCCAGGGCAGTCCCTGGGGAGTGGGTGTGCCTTCCCCACCCCCTGTTCTCACAGCACCTCATGCAGCCCCTTCCTGGGCAACAGGTCTCAGGCAAAACAGGAAGTCAGCTCCCGTCAGCTGGGGACACAGAGTGGCTCTGCTCTGAAGCCCAGGTGCTGGAATGGGGGCACCATCTCTGGTCACTTCAGACCCAAACTCTGACTGGGCGTCCTGCATCTCTGTCAGTGACCACTGACTTCTTTCCTGAATGTTCCAGAGCTCCCACCTTGTCATTGGCCCTCACTGTGAACCCCTGTCCCTGTAGCTCCCAGGGAGAGGCCTCTGTCCCAGCTACATTGACCCCATAGCTCCTTGGGTACTAGCCGACCTTAGGGGCTGGGGAATTACAACATGTCTGTTCCCATCAATGTAAAGATCCAACCACGGATTTCTTCTTGTTTAAATGCACTGTTAATATTACCTGTCCTGTTGAATGACAATATAGGTGAAATCACACCCACCCCCAGCCCTGGGGGCACCTGGGTGCAGGCAGGGCCTCAGCTTTGAGAACACAGACCTGGCATCAGGCTCCTCCTTCTCATCAGTGAGGGGACCCTAAACCAGTTATATCTTCTGGAGATGCCTTAGTCTCCCAGTCTGTGATTGGGAGCTTGCCAGCATCTACCTCCTACTGCGTCCTGAGTTGCGTGGTGCTATAAACACCTGAGGTGCCTGTCACCTTTGGGGAGGATCCTCAGGACTCAGGCACAGACTTGGCAGTGGAAGGGTCACATGGAGGCTGGCAGAGCACAGAACTCAGTGCAAATAGACACGGTCTGCTCTGGATCAAGGGGGACTCAAAGCTCCTGCTGCCTGCATCCCAGGCATCTGAGAAGGTTGAAGGGACCTGAAAGTCTGACATCATCCCTCGGGTGGGCAACCTTCCAGGGCTCCAGTGTGGACAGACTCAGGGCCAAGTGCCTCCTGTGGCCTGTGTGCTGGGATCCCCGAGATGGCTCCCAGTGTTCCCCCCTCGTGTTCTCCCACCCTGTGTGATCCCCTCTGCTTTGAGACTGGATGGACTTTGTGACTGTTTTCTAACACCAGAGTCGGACAAAGTGATGAGAGGCCATTCAGTGTGGTTATGAGAAGCCTGACTTTCACAGGTCCACTCTCTCCTGGGCTCATTCCCTGTTTCCCTCTGTCTCTGTCTCTCCTTATACATGTCCACCTCTTCGTTCTCTGTCTCTCTTTATCTCATTGCTGTGTTAGCATCGGTAACCAGATGCTGATCAAGGAAGGGAGCCAATGGCATCAGACATTGCTGAACCTAATGGGCTGTGGAGAGGGATCAGACACTGGGCCTGCTGTGTTAGAAAGCTACAGCTCCACTCCTTTCCCAGGTGACTTCTGAATCCACAGAGTGGGCAGGAAGGATTGCTGCTGGAAGGATTGCTGCATTACCCAGGGAGGATAAAACACCTGAAGAAATTCCTCTGCTGGACACATGCCTAGCAGAGGCCAAGATGGCGTGGGGTGGGGGTTGCTTCTACTTTGCATCATGTGCAGTAGGAACTATGACGGAAGAGTGTCCAGTTTGGGAATAGGATTGGATTGGATGTTGGATACAGAACCCTGAGAGATGCAGGAAATGGATTGGTTAGAAGGAGGATCTGTGCCAGCCCAGGAAAATTTGGGAAGTTGATTGGTTAGTTTGGAAAGGTGCCTGGTCCTTCCCAAGGCCAAGATAATTTACTGTATATTGTCATGTATAATGTGCACTTTTTTGCCCAAATTTTTGAGGGAAAAATAAGGTTGGCCATTATACACTAGTATTAGGGTCACATTCAAGAGGCATAACATTGGGTATGATAATGCTGTCAATAATGCCCACAGAAACATGAGTGCACTTATACACGGTAAATATGGTAATCTCTGTTTAATAAAGAATCTCTCTCTCTCTGTCTCTGACTCTCTCCCAGTAGCATGTTCTCACTCCTTTCCATTGCAGCCATGTGGACCTAGCAGCACTTGCCTGTCGAGTATCGGCTTCATAGTGACGGGCAGACAAACCCGCATTGAATTTCAAGGAGACTCAGAGGTGGCAATCATGGGACTCACATTTGAGTCACTTACATTATAAATTCAAATGGAAGGGAATTTACCAAAATAAAAATGACACTTGATGACTAAAAATGGCACGGGATGGGTTGAAGAACAGACCAACAGTTACATTGAATTCGAGGAACTGGGGAGAAAGAGAACCAACAAGTATTCACAAAGATGGAAGACATGAGTCTGGTGATACCTGACAATAAAGTGGGATGTTCAAAGATTACAGCATATTGGAAAGAAATGGGACATTTGCTCTAAATGAGTCACGCTATAGCTATTATGGCCAGCAGGGGGCGCTGTGGGTCCACTTGAGGTGAACAAGGTCTGCAGTAAATTCAGATTTAATGACCGTGAAGGCAACAAGCTCACTGGCTTGAGGTCCATTTTACAGCAGGTGCTTCCTCCCAGGGGACCAACTCACAGCCCACAGGCAGGCCAGCCGTTGACTCCCGACGGTAGAGCTGGCCCTGGTTGAGGATGCACGAAATTGAGGGTGGGGAAATAAAGAGCTGAGATTTGCATCAAGCATTACCCAGACACAAACCTTTCCTCCAGGAAGCTGAGGGAGATAAAGGAGCCACCAGAGTGTCCAGTGTCAGCTGTGGGGCCAGAGTGTCCTGGACACATTTGCACCATGACCGGGACTCCTCTCCTGCTCCTGCTCCTCCTCACCCTCTGCCCAGGTTCATGGACATTTCAGAGAGCAGCTTTGGAAGGGACCTTGTGCCTTCCTTCCTCATTCCTCATGTGTCTGTTTTCATTTCAGGGTCCAGCTCTCAGGCTGTGGTGACTCAGGAGCCCTTCCTGACAGTGTCCCCAGGAGGGACAGTCACTCTCACCTGTGGCCACAACACTGGAGCTGTCACCAATGAGCACTACCCATCCTGGTTCCAGCAGAAGTCTGGACAAGTCCCCACCACATTGATTTATGACATAGACAAGAAAAATGGGTGGACCCCGGCCCGCTTCTCAGGCTCCATTCTCGGGGGCAAAGGGGCCCTGACCCTGTCGGGGGCCCAGCTGGAGGACGAGGCCGAGTACTACTGCTGGATGGTGTACAGCGGTGCTCGGCACAGTGACAAGTTCAGACCAGGACCCAGGACGTAAACCTCCCCCTGGCCCAGCCTGGTCTAAGAACAACCTCAAGGTTTGAGGGTCACATGATCCTATGCTTCAGTGCTCCAGACAGTCCCAATGGGACAGAGGGGACAGGAAGGACTCTTTAATGATGTCTACGACCCTGGAGCACTAAAGAGTGGAAGCCACAGTGAATGACGTGGGAGAAACTTTTCCAGACAGACCAGAAGCCATGTGTTTATGATTCTCAGGGAGTGGAGGGACCTCAATGGGCTGAGGAGGCCGAAGTCATACACATTTTCCCCAGAAAGAGACGTCCAAACTGTGAATTTTGTCAGCTGAGAAAGAAGGGATGGAATCACCATTTTGCATGTGACTAAAGTATATTTTTCATCACATGGGATTTTTAATCTGTGCAATGTTATTAAAGGAAATTAGGAACTATAGATATTACACAGCTTTTAAGAAAGCTCACTTCTTATCACTTGTACACTTTTTAGAGTTTAAGTAGATTCAGTCATTTTTGTCAGTTGTTTTCAGAATTCTCATCACAATACATGGTTATAATTGTATCATTAGTCTACTGAAATCATTTTAAATACAATGATAAGCTATTTAATGTTTCTTGAACTGTATATCAATATATACTAGAATGGCCACATAATATTATTTTTTAATTTAAGATCTACTGCAATTGTATAGCATTTAAAATATTATAATTTATACAAACTAAGGCTATTTATCACTTTGTGTCCATAAATCTTTCCTAATAAAATAAATGTGTCAAATTCAACTGCAAGTTTCATTTAGGGGACCCTGTGCCTTGCAGAACCAGGAACACTAATATGAGACTTTCATTAATGAAACCAGGTGTGTCCAACATCTAAAAGGGTGAGTGGATCACCCTGTTGTAGTTGAACTTGACTCCATGTGATTCAATTCATTTTATATTTCTGGAACCTATGCATATCTAAGCGCCAGTCACCCTGGCCTGGTGGCTCAGTTGGTGGGAGCCTTGTCCTGGGCACCAAAGTGTTGGGGGTGTTATTTCTGGTCACGGCGCATACTTAGGTTTTGGGTTTGAGCTCCAACAGGAACACAACGGAATGCGGGCAACTGATCGGTGTTTCTCTCTCACATTGATGTTTCTCTCTCTCTGTCTTTAATTTTTGCTCTTTCTCCCTTCCTCCTCTCTCTCTGGGATCAGTGGGCATATCCTTGGGTGAGGATAAGGAAAAAAAAACCTACTGAGCTCTAAAAAATGAACTTTATCTGGGCTAACACGGATTAGAAAAAACAGGCTGTAAGAGTTTTTCAGGCGACACATGAAGAAAGACATTCTGAGGACACACACACAGAGGTGGACAACGGTAGGCTTGCAGGTGTGAACAGGCAAAACACAGTTTACTCTAGTATTACATTTATTATCTGTTGTATTATTCATTCACATTGCCACTGCAAGCCTACTTTTGCTCACCACTGTACATTTGTATTTCCAGAATAAATTCAAGACCAAATGAGAATACACAGAGTAATCGACAACAAAAGACCTTTTGTCTCTAAGCATGTTTTATTGAGATATTTACATGGAAGTGCCTGCAGGGGGTGCTCCTTCGTTGGTCCTGTTCTTGAACAGGAAGGAGTGAGTCAGTCCGGGAGCACAGGCCGGTCCAGGGTCTCACAGTGGTGAGGTGATGGAGCCCCGCTGTCCATGCCCATAGGGTCGGAGTGAGGTAACAAATGAACACAGTGTGTGCAACTACACATGGTGATGAAGACAGAAGTGTTTCCCCAGCTGCTGTGGTGCAGGTGGCTGTAGTGTCGTCCCAGGAATCAAGGGGTCCGGGATTGTTTTCCCCGCAGGGCACATGCCTGGGTTGTGGGTTGGGTCCCTGGCCTGGGCAAGTGGGGGAGGCAACCTGCCCATGTTTCCAACTCACATCGATGTTTCTCTTTCTCTATTGCTCCCTTTCTTTCCCTTTAAAATCAATAAGCATGTCCTCAGGCGAGGATGAAAAAAGGACAAAAGAAGAAAGACAGTCATGTTCACCAGCAAACCTTACACCATCAAGTGTCAATATTGTGTTGCTAATGACACATTCCCAGTGATACGTCAGCACTGACCCAGGTCACAGACACGGTTCCCTCTGTCCCCGGAGCAGCGCACAGGGTGAAGGGACCCGGGTCCTGCAGTCGTGCACTGACCGGGCCCCGCACACCTCCCCTCCCCTCCTCTGCTCCGCTGCTGCTTCCCGCACCCTCTCCTCTGTCCCCGGGGCTCTCACCGAGAGCCAATCTCTGTAATGTGACAATAGAATTACTGTTTTTTTCTTTAAAAGGTGTGTCTATCTGCCTTTGGGTGTTTTCACAGAGATGCTGTTGATGTGTTTATTGTTCATCCTGAGACGCACCGAGTCCCTGCACAGGGTCGGTCTCCACGTCACAGACACAGGCAGGGGTGCTGCATAGTCAGAACATGCGGACGTTCCTTCCTGCTCCTGAGAACAGGTATCTCCTGAGCACATCAGAACTAGCTCAGACACACACACGTTTTGTGCACATTAATGAAATCCCAGGCATTGCCATTTATAGAAAAGAAAAGTTATTCTTTTCTGGTCACCCCCAGGGAGGTGCCGGGGACCACAGGGCACTGTGGGGCCAGGTGGTGGTGTCAGGGCAGGAAGAAAGAAGGGGCTGTGTGCACCCCGGACCTGTTCTCCCTGAGACCTGAAGACCCCACGGCTGAGGACGCTGTGCCTGTGGGTGGGAAGTGCAAAGATTTCCCGCTCACACAGGACTTGGGCTCCTGTGAGGGGCAATGGTTACCAGAGCTGATCTGCACCATATGCCTCCTTTCCCCTCAGATTCATCCTGGGTCCAGGGAAGCGCCCTCCACACACTGGTTTTCTTTAGCACCAGGTGCCAGGTCCTGAAGGGTCTGGGAGGACCTGCCCCAGGGGAGGGTTTGCCTGGAGAACCCCCTCAGGGGTGGAGAGGATGTCAGAGGGACAGGAGGCCCCTTGTCCTCGTGCCTGGACCTGAGGGAGAGGCTCCCTGAGGGTGTCCTGCAGGTGCACTCATCTCCAAACACACTCCCTGTCCCCTCCCTGAGGATGTCTTGTTCTGGGCTCCGCAGGTCTCAGGCTTCTCTGTCGCTCCAGAAGTCAGGGTCTCCCTCTGCTGACCCAGCATCCTCAGGGTCAGTGTCTCCAGGAGGTGGAATCTTCATCATCAGGAAACAGCAGTGACATTAGTGTCCCTGGGTCCTGTTATCAGGGCAGCTGGGAAACGCTCTCAACCCCAATCCACCAGCTGCCTATTTGCTGTGTGTCTGTGACCCAAGTATGTCATTGCCCAGCATTACCCAGGGAGTCCTGACTGCCATACAGCTGCCATCCTGAGATAAGGCCCCTCACAGCCAGAAATCAATGAGATCCTTTCTCATGTGCAGGGACAACTGACATTCCAACTGGCTGGGCAAGGCCCCGGGTTTCTCCGTAGCAGTTGTTTGCAGGACGGGTTCTGGGGGGGATGGGGCCAACCAGACAGGCGGGAACAGGCTCCACTGCTCCTGAGCTTCGGCCCACACCCCCGCATGCGAGTGTGTCTATCTACCCCTGTCACCCTGTCCCCCGATGGCCCGGCCTGGCCCTTCTCCATGCTGCTTTTGACTCTGCTCATTTCCTCCTATTTTGTACGGACATCTTCGTGCTCATGACTGTGTCCTAGGCAGCAGGAGCGACAGGCTGATGGACGTGCTTTCGGTTTCAAGATGACTGAGAGGTGGAAATTATGTGACATAGATTTTAACAGACAATCACATAATCACCTTCATAAAAAATTATAATTCTTTGGAAAGATGTGAAAAAGGGAGAAAATCTCAGAAATTTATGCATTATAAAATCAAATGGAAGGAAAGTTACCGAAATAAAAAAGACACACGATAACTAAAATCCTCACTAGATAAGCTGAAGAACAGACTAACAGTTACATTGAATTCCAGGATCTGGGGACAAAAAGAACCAAAAAGTATTCACAGAGACAGAAGAGCAATCATCCTGGTGATACCTGGACAATAAAGTGGGATGTTCAAAAATTACAACATATTGGAAAGAAATGGGACATTTGCTCTAAATGAGTTACACTATAGCTATTATTTTTGAGGCTGTCACCAGGGGGCGCTGTGTACCCACTTGAGGTGGATTAAATTCAGATTTAAAGACTGTGAAGGCAACAAGCTCACTGGCTTGAGGTCCATTTTACAGCAGGTGCTTCCTGATGTAAAATGCTCCCAGGGGACCAACTCAGAGCCCACAGGCAGGCCAGCCGTTGACTCCCGACAGTAGAGCTGGCCCTGGGTGAGGACGCACGAATTTGAGGGTGGGGAAATAAAGAGCTGAGATTTGCATCAAGAATGACCCAGACACAAACCCTCCCTCCAGGGAGCTGAGGGAGATAAAGGAGCCACCAGAGTGTCCAGTGTCAGCTGTGGGGCCAGAGTGTCCTGGGCACGTTTGCACCATGACCGGGACTCCTCTCCTGCTCCTGCTCCTCCTCACCCTCTGCCCAGGTTCATGACATTTCAGAGACCAGCTTTGGAAGGGACCTTGTGCCTTCCTTCCTCATTCCTCATGTGTCTGTTTTCATTTCAGGGTCCAGTGCTCAGATTGTAGTGACCCAGGAGCCATCACTGTCCGTGTCTCCAGGAGGGACAGTGACGCTTACCTGTGGCCTTAGCTCTGGGTCAGTCTCTAGTAGTAACTACCCTGGCTGGTACCAGCAGACCCCAGGCCAGGCTCCCCGCACGCTCATCTACAACACAGACAGTCGGCCCTCTGGGGTCCCTGAGCGCTTCTCGGGATCCATCTCTGGGGACAAAGCCGTCCTCACCATCTCGGGGACCCAGCCTGAGGACGAGGCTGACTATTACTGTGCTACAGATCATGGCAGTGGGAGCAGCTTCCATCACTCACAGTGGCTCAGATGCCGAGGAAGTGAGACAGAAACCCCTGGGCCCAGAGGTTATGCTCTGAGCCTCACGGGAGCTTCTGTGGGGGCCTCTGCAAGGTGGGCTCCTCTGCAGTCAGAAACGTCCATGGAAGGGGGTGGAGCAGCACACAGTTATGAGTGAGAGCACAGGGCGTCCCGGGTCACTCTTGCTGTAGGGGTGACAAAGCCTGACTGACTGCCCCCATAGTGTTGGAGTAAATTTTAACAAAATTAATATTTTTAAGAAAAAAATCACAGTTTTTTCCCACCGTTGTGTCTTCTTTTGTACTCACACAAAACCCTTCACTGCTGACATTTCTGGCTACGAAATGTGTGGGTGATTTTTCTTCACAACAAGCAGTTCCCTGTGACACAAGCTGGATGTCCCACCACACAACTCAGCTCCCACACGACTGCCTGGAGACGGTGTCCGGTCCGCAGTGAAGGGCTCCCTCCCACGGGCCTGCCTGCTCTTCAGGTGACGGTCACAAGCAGGACGTCCCCTGGTTTGCTCATGGCCTTGGCTGTAACTCCCAGGTTCCCGGGTCCCTCCCGAGGTTTCAGTTAATTTGCTGACTCCACCTGAGCTCTTCTCCCTCCTCAAGGAAATGGGGGGCAGGTCTGAAAAGTTCAGGCTTTGCATCCTGCCTCTGTCTATGAGTGAGCAGTCCGCCCCCAGGAGCCCACCCAGAGCCACCTCTTTAGAACAAAAGGAAAACCTGTCACCCAGGAAATTTCAAGGTCAGGAGGCTGAGACCAAAATATATTTTCTCTTATCTCACAATACTGTGTCTGCAAGCACCAGTGATGACCCAGACAGTCACTGTCACCCACAAATTAATGTCGTACGTGTGAATCCTGTGGTGCTTCCTTTACATCCTCACGGCCCCAGGCTCTTTAGCCTGACCGTGGACACTGGGCCCTTGGGCACCCTCCATGACTGGTGACCTCATGACTGTCAGTGGGTTCTCCTGACCCCACAGGCACCGACTGTCCCCCTGTCCTCTCACACTTCCCTGGGCTCCCCAGCCATCCAGGCTGTGGGCTGGGCTGCGGGGCATCAGGAGCAGGAAGTCCCCAGTGTGTGTCTGCCTTTCCTCCCCCATGAAGCTGCTGATGAGCCCAGACCCCAGGGGAACTTCGCCTGCACAGGAAGCAGCAGACACTTGGGGGGTGACTATGGCAATGGTCCGAAGCCCTCCCAGGTACAGCCCCCACATTTGTGACCTGGACGTGCTGTGAGGGCCCTTCCTGGGTTTGAGTCTCATTCTCCGAACTCAGTGCTGTCACCAGAACCTCTTGACCACCTTTGGGTCGCAGCCCCTGGGAGAGGCTGGTGATCATCGGTTCAGAGCTGAACACAAGCCGATGCCACACAGCTCTCCTGCCCCACGGGGACAAGGGGTGAACCTGCCCTCCCGGCCCCTGCCTGGCTCATCGGTGCCCTGTCCTTCCCTGTGACCAACACCAGCTCAGGAGTTTGCTTCTGCTGTCACTTGTTCTATGAACACAAAAGGGTTTCATTCTCTCAAGTCTGTTCATCTTTACAGTGTCAATGAAAATATCTGTTTGAAAATACGGTTCTCCCAAATGAAACAGAACTGCCCTGTTTCCAGAGAGAAACATTCCCGCAGTGCTCAGCGGGGGCAGGAGAGGCCTGCGTGCAGCAGGTGTGACCCCAGGGAACCCGGTGACCCTTCCTGCTGCCGGCGGAAATCGTGTCCTTTCACGGGACCCTGAGAAAAGCACTTCTCGGACTCACTCATGGGAGACTGTGGGGTGACAGGATTTATTCGGGTGGAAGTAGAAGGCCGCTGCTGTGTCACACGTCCGTCTGTCCCACCATGGAGAACGTTCAGCTGTGGCTTCAGCAAGGCTGGAACATAGGCCAGTGTCCAGCGTTTCTGTCTCGTATGGAAGCTTCATCCTTTGGATCCCATGGGGCCTGCTCTGGGCCCTGACTGGCTGTTGGACCCAAATGTTGCCATAGAGAGAACACGTGAATGAACCAGGCAAAATAGTGCATGAGAGAGCGAGAGCGAGAGCGAGAGCGAGAGAGAGAGAGAGAGAGAGAGAGGACTCCCTGTACCCTGGCATTATGTTATATCAGGCTTAGGAAGGACCGTGCCCTTTTTACAAAGAACGAATGAACTTCCCACACATCCATGGGCTTGCTCTGGGCTAACCTTCTAGCCAGTCCTGTCTACTTAGCGGGGATTACAGCACCCACACGTTTATGTGAGAGTCATGGCTTCTGTCGCTTTTATGTGCAAAGGTTTGAGGGCACCTGAAACGCACACACGAGGCCACGAACATGATGACCAAGCACTCTCGAGTGGGTGTGCTCTCGCAGTCAGCCGGGGGTGGGCTGCAGTCACGGGGGAGGGCAGACACACAGGAGGGGTCCTGTGGATGATGTGCCGGGGAGGGTGGAGACAGGGGGTTTTATGAAGTATTCTCTACAATGTGTGTAACTTCAACATTCTCTCCATCACATATAATTTTAAATTCTCTGTTTCTCTGAGTGATAATGCATTTAGGTCCTGTCATTAAGAGAAACTCAAAAGGACCGAAAGTTGTATTTTCACTATATTCTAAAGTTTAAACCCATTTTCCCCCACAGACAGAAGAATTTGATGTGGATGGAGACCACAGGAAAAAAGTTCTCCATGATTTTCCAGCTATAAAGATGTCAGGGAAGCCTGGTGTCTGAGAGCAAGAGGAGGGGTTCCAGCTGGGCATGGAGGGGGCTGGTCATGAAGCCCCCTGAGGGGATCCGAGGAGTTGGGGTTCTGTGCAACCAGCACGAGGAGCCACTGAGGGTTTTGATAAAGGGGTGACCTGCCTGAGAAGAATGAGAAAGAGCCCTCGAGTGCCTGGAGGACACAGTGCCCAAGGTGAGCAAGGGATCCTGGCCAGAGTCATTGACTAGGAGTCCCCATGAGTCTACACATGTGGGGACCATGGGGCCGTGGGCACAGGTACAGCAGAGGTGGAGCTGGGCACAGAGGGACGTGCTGGTCTCTGCCTCCAACTGCCCAGACACTCAGCTCGTCTGCAAATGCATCACACCCTTTATTATCTTGCTGCTAAAACATGACAGTGAGGAAGATCCAGGCAGGGAAAGCTTTATTTAGAATAGGAATAAATTGAGGACACCTGGGACAAAATTCCGACGAGGAACATGTGGCACAGAGAAGGAGACACTGCAGACCTGAGACTGTGGGTCAGTTTCTGAAACGAAGACACAGTCCACATTCACCACTGGTGCTTGTGAAGCCCAGCAAAGCCATTGTTATCATTATTTTTTTACCAATTAATACTAAATTAAATCAGATCTCCATGAAAACTGAAAATGCCCTGGCTGGTATAGGTCAGGGGATTGAGAGCGGGCTGTGAACCACAGGATTGACAATTCGATTCTCAGTCAGAGCACATGCCTGGGTTGGGGGCCGCGTCTCCTGTGGGGCCCACGAGACAGGCAACCACACAGTAATGTTTCTTTCTCCCCATCTCTCTAAATAGATAAATAAAATCTTAAAAAATTATTTTAAAAAACTGTAATGCATTCCACGAATTAAAATGTTTGCCACATTGTTCTCCCTTGAATATGCCTCTGAACATTTCCCTGGAAAACCCCCTTTCTGTGTCGTTTCCCCGAGCAGCCCCTGTGAGCCCTCCAAACCAGATCAGCTGTCCGTCATCTGCCATGTGGGACAGGAAGCTGTCTGTGTATGTGCTGTGCCGTATCTTCACTGGGGGTGAAACCAAATCAATTTGTCATATGTGTACATGTTTGCCCCTCCCAAGATGAGACCCCTGGAAGTGAGATGACTTCAGAGTCACGGTATCAGAGTCACAGTATCTGGGAACCAGACCCTGGATGTGTGAACAGAGTCAGTGGCCTGCTGAGCTGCAGGGACCAGCTGGACTCTCAGGGTTTTGGTCCAGTACACATGTGGGTCCTGTGACTAGCAGAAGGTGGAGTGGGATTTCACTGTGGTCCCTGTACAGCTAGCTGCTCAGTGAGGACACACCACTCAAAGGAGCCTGAGCCTAGAGGCTGGGCCCTGTGCTACTATATGGGCCTCAGCAGCTGCGGCTGCTCTCGGGACTGGCATATTCTCCTGAGCGTTAATCTTTGTGTGGTCTCAGCAGGTGCTTCCTGCCAAGGGGTCTCCAAAGGGGTGAAGCCAACCTCCATCCCCCTCAGTCTGGTATGTGAGCTGAGTTCCAGCATCAAGGCTCAGTGAGGGGCTGGACAGCTCCTGGATGGACACACATTTGCATGGACAGCCCCTCCTCTGGCAGAGGGTGGGGAAGAAAAGGAGGCCTGGGCAGCCCAGCCCCACTGTGGGCTCAGGGGCTGTGTGCACCATGGCCTGGACTCCTCTCTTCCTCGTGCTCCTCTCTCACTGCACAGGTAGGGACAGGCCTCGGGGCCCAGGGCTCAGTTCTGCTTTATTCCTTTCATGTTCCATCTCCTGAGAAACTTACCCTGGTTCTGCCCCATCACTGACAAGTGTCTGTGTTTCTGCAGCTTCCCTCTCCCAGCCTGTGCTGACTCAGCCGCCCTCCCTGTCTGCATCTCTGGGAGCCACAGCCAGACTCACCTGCACCCTCAGCAGTGGCTCCAGTGTTGGCAGCTACTACATATACTGGTACCAGCAGAAGCCAGGGAGCCCTCCCCGGTATCTCCTGTACTACTACTCAGACTCAAGCAAGCACCAGGGCTCCGGGGTCCCCAGCCGCTTCTCTGGATCCAAAGATGCCTCGGCCAATGCAGGGATCCTGACCATCTCTGGGCTGCAGCCTGAGGACGAGGCTGACTATTACTGTGCTATATGGGACAGCAGCAGTAGTACTTACACGGTGCTCCAGAGTCACGGGGAAGTGAGACAGAAACCTCCCTGTGCCCTTTCTGCTTGGGCTGCCACCCTGGTTCTGCCTCGAACCAAGCCTTCCTCATAGATGACAAGTGTTGTCACCTCTTAAGTCAGCACTTTCTGTCCTAGGACTCATAGAGGTGCCAGTGTTTTCCATCTTCCTATGTTGAAAGTTAATTATACCAATTGCTCATATCTCCTTACCCTGACCCTGCCTACGCAGTTACAAATCTGTTCTTCTGGCCACTACCCCTCCAAGGGGACGATGGACAACAAAGGAGGTGGTTGTGCCCACCGTGCACAGGTGAGACTCGACTCAGGGCTGTAGATGGCCTGAGTCCTTTTGGTTGCTCACTGGGTCCAATATGCCTCCAGCCCATCACCCAGGAGAGAGCTCCAACTGTCAGGTCTCCTTCCTTTAATCTGGTCCTTGTGACCTGTGTCTGGGGACTGTTTTCCCTCCTGAGGTTCAGAAGAAGCAGGTGACCGTGGCTCTAGGAATTCTAGCAGTGTGCACAGTGAAATTGGACTGTGTGTGTGACTTACCTGTGTGCACAAAGACACTAGCATCATGCTTGTGCAAGGGCCATAGTTCTTCCTCGTCCTAAGGTCATTTGTGTGTCATGCCCACATTTGCCTGAGGATGGGGACTTGCGTTCCCTTGGCGTAGGCAGATGACTAAGACAGATCCCGTGAACTTAGTAAAGGAAGAGGAGGATGTGGGGGAGTCATGTCCCTACACTAGTGTTCCAGGGGCCCGATAGTGAGGGCACTTTCCCCCTGACTCGGGGTCCTCCCCTCTGCACACTTCTCTGCACTGGGGAGGGGCTGAGAGGTTCTTGGAAATGGCTCATCACAAGCACCTGCCCTGGTTTTTTCTGTCCCCTAGTACAGTGTCCGTCCTTCGTACTGGCTTCCAATCCTGCTTAGGGTGAAGCCGTAGCCTGCAGGAGACTCGACAGCCTCTGCCAGGGTGGCCTGACCTGGGCTGCCCTGGACGGCTGCCTGTGCCTCCTCCACCGACCCGAGCCCCCTGGTGTCCAGGAGCCATGCCCACAAGTCATGTTCTCGGCCCTGTGTCTCCACTGGGCAGCTGCCAACTCTCCTCCGTCACATCTCCTTTCACGGCCTCTCACCCACTTCGCTGATCACAGATGGAGTGTCTCGGGTGCAGCTTCGTCCCCCAAAGCAGGGCTCCATATCCATTCCACTGCCCCTGGTCGCACCCACATCAGCTTCTCACGAGGCCCAGGAGAGGGGAGCTGGGCCATGGAAGTGCTGAGCCCAGTGTTGTAAATTTCCCCCATAAACCCTGAGGGGGAACACACATGACACTGGGGTGTTTGCATTTGCACCTGGTGGAAGTCAAGGGCATTTACTTCTCGTGAAACCCAGGTGTTTGGTAGAGTCTAACAGCTGAGTGATGTGAGAGACAGGAGATCATTCATATATTAGCCGTCATTCCTCATGCTACCTGCACCCAGCGCTTAGTAACGACTGGTCAACAAATGCACCAGTTCTGTGCATTTTTCGTAAATAAAGTTTCATAACACATGGTCCTGTGTAAATGATGTCTTTCATTTAATTCTCTTACATAATGTCTTTGGACTCCACTCAGGACGTAGAGTGAATCTGCACCTCTTCGTGTTCGTTGGCACACAGTGCTCCGTCATAGGGTCACAGCACAGCGTGTTTCCCCATTCATCAGTGGAGGGGCAGGGGGGTTATTCACACCTCACCACTGATTAGGCACATTGCTGCCACGAACATTTCTGTGCATGATTGTGTGTGTGTGTGTGTTCACATTTTAATTTTTCTTAGGTAGTTACCTAAGAGTGGAACTGCTGGCTCATGTGATAATTGTAAGGAATGCTTCTTAAATGCCTGTCAGGCTGTTTCCCAAAATGAAGAAAGGCTGAAATGAAGCACCGATGACATCGGATGGGGAGACAGTTTGATGAGCGAGTCCTGCAAATCAGAGAGGCTTGGGTGGAGCCCTGGGCTTTTCCCAGATCCCTGACCTTGCAGGCCCCCTGACTGGGGTGGTCCTGGGGATCCGTGCATTCAGGGTTCGCATGCCCAGGACACTCAGGAGGGTCATGGGGGATGGTTTGTGGTTGTGGGCCCAGCAGAGGGTGCTGTCGGGTGTCTGAAAAGCAATGGTCTGGGCTCTCCAAGACTGGACATTTCTCAGGGCTTGGCTCTGAGCATCTTTATTTTCATCCAGAAACAATTCTAAGGGCCTTCCTATTTTAAAGGAAAAGGTGTAACTTTTTTATTACAGCCTTATAGCTGCTTGTTGCTACTAGTCCTGGAGATGCGCTATGGCGGGAAAACCAAAGCGTGGACAGGAGCACCCATAGGTGGAGGCGCCTGTGCGCGGGTGGGGCTGAGGGTGAGAGAGAATTGGGCCAGTGAGGCCCGATCGACCCGCACTGTGTCTCATTCATGATGTTTCTGACTAAGGGGAGACATACATGGGTGAGGATTTGGATGTTTTCCCAAGAGCACATGTTGTTAACATTGGAATATCGGCCTCCATTAAATCATACAAGTCGCGGTTGTCCCATGCATCAGATTGCTGGGAGGAAGAGAGTTCTGAGAAGAGCCGAGGTGATCAGAGAGGCACGTGGAGGCCAGGTCTCCATGAAGACACTGCTCTTCCGTCAGCGACTTGCCAGCTGATCCTCGGAGGTGCACTGAAGGGACGATGAAATTGAGAACTTCGATAGGGACAGAGGGCAGAGGACTGTTGTCATTATTCAGGGCAAGTTAACAGAGGCTGGGCCTTGGTTAGTCGAGCTGAGTGGCAGAGAGCAGAGTTAAGATGCGTCTTTGCTCCTCAGTGTGCAGCAGCAGGGGGTTGCTTGGATGTCCGGGTGAGGACACGTGGGTCCCCTAGGGCGGCTCCATGCCCTGACACGTGACGTAGACGAGGGTGCTGGATTCCAGCACAAATCCCAGTGACTCCGTGACAGTGACTTCACCCTTCTTCACCTGTGTGTTAAGGAGGCTGGCTAAGCATTCTTTCTCTTATATTGATTGACTCGGGGATGTTTTCATTCATATACTTTTTAACTACCTGTTAAGTGTCGACCCTCTGCAGGGTTTGAGTGACACAGCATTTCCTTCACTCACCTACATGTGAGCTGAAGGCCAAGGGCACCCAGACAACAGCCAGTAACGAAGTCTCCCGGCTCAGAGGATCCACATGGGCCCCAAGGAAGACCTGACCCTCCATCTGGGGCCACACCAACAACAGCATCAGGGGAGACAGCATGGCTAACATCCTTTCAGGAAATGCAAGTCTACTACTCAAATTTGGGCCAAAGTGGGGAATAGGGAGGCAAAAATTTAAAGAAGCTAGAGTTGTGGGGGTTGGAAAATAAAGATTTTGTCACCCATTATCCCCCAGAGTCCCACAGATTCCAGGAGTCAAAACATGGCTAACCCTCCACTTTGGTGCTCACCTGGATGACAGACTGCACGACAACTCTCCCGTCTCAGCCAACTCCAGTCCTGACCCCAGGCTCCACTTTCACCTCTGGTCCTTCTCCAGAGGTGAAGGAGAATCGTATCTAACGGCTGGGACTCCAGGAGAATCCCTGACTGTCATCACAGCAGATAGGTAACTGCGGGGAAGAAGATGGCACAGTGTGGCCAGGCACCACCCCCTCCGGTGGCAGGGACTCCTGCATGGTTCTCAGGCTTCTTTGGAAACCATGTGTTAGATCTGGGCAGGCCAAGCAGGAATGAAAATCACCAGGCGAGAAAACGGCACCGTGGGAAGCTGCCTGCAGACCCTACCCAGGAAGATCAGGGTCTGGGGTCGGCTTATCCGGCATAACAGGATGCAACTTTCACCCAGCAACCAGCTCTAGCCAATCAGACTCTGATACCCCAACCGCAGGTTTTTACATTTAAAAACCCTGATCTAAGAACAACCAAGTGAGTCCAAACCTCCCTCGGTTGGCCCCACTTTCGCTCTTACACCCTGCTAATAAGCTCTGCTCTCCTTAGCTCGCTGTGTCCATCCGGTTTCTTGAGTGACTCCCACCTAACACTGTGGAACCCACCTGATGGTTTCTGAATCCATCCATTTGCTATCCAAAAGACACCTGGGACAGGACCTTGCCTTTGTATAGCCCCCTCTCCCCTCATGCCCGCCGTTCTGTGGGCCGCTGTCTCTGCCATGAGTCTTCCCTCTGAACTCTGGGAGGTTGGGCTCCTCAAGGACACCTTGGGTCCCTTGAGTTGGCAGAGGGCCCAGACCTGGGCAGGGCTCTAAGGCACATGCTTCTGTCACCTGTCATAAAAAGGAGAAGACATCACGCTAGCAAATCCTGCCCTGGAATTTAAGTCAGGAAACTCGGGGCACAGGTAAGTGACCCCTAAACCTTTTTGGGTGACCATGCCCACTCCTATCTGATACCCATGACAGCCTGTTTAAGGGACTTCCTCATAACACAGGGGGAAAAAAAAACCCTTGCCCTGGCTGGTGGGGCTCAGTTGATTGCTGTGTTATCCTGTAGCCAGAAGGTTGCAGCTTTTATTCCCAGTCGGGACACACAGGCCAGATACGGATTCAAACCCCAGTGTGGGCGCGGGCACATACAGTCCCTGGTCTAGGGGTCATTCCCCATATCTGCCCACGTGGGAGTTGACTAATCAATGCTTCTCTCTGACACTGTTTCCCTCTCTCCCTTCTCTTTCTAAAAGCGATAAAAAAAAAGTGCCCCATTGTTTTTTCTGAAATGTCAGGCAATTTACTGCATGAATGAAGGTCACACACATTTTCTGTGAGGCCAGCCACTCAAAGCCACCTTTAATCATGTACTGGTATTGGGGGTCACCCTGACAATTCTCTTATGTCTTTTTTCCATTTCAGGTTTCTGATTAACCCCACATACTACATCATTACATGCTCCTCAGACTGGGGAATGCAGAGCCCCGACCCTGTGCCAGGTGCTGCCGACAACAGAATATCTGTGTGTGGCACAGCTTTCTGGAGCATCCATTCCCTGAGAGATTTGAAGAAACGAGTTCAGCGGTTGGAAATAATCCCCTTCCTTCCCGCCACAGGCA